GGGATGGAGACCAGCAGGGGAGCGGGGTGCCCCTGGAGGGAGAGCGGGCGAGGCGGGAGAGGAAGAAGAGCCCGTGTGGGGCGGGGCGGGGCGGGCCCGGCCTGAGGCGGTGGGGTGGGGGTGGCGGCTTGGGGGAGAAGAGGGGGTGGCGGTGGAGGTGGGCGCAGCCTGAGAGCTGCCCGGGAAGGAGGGCCTGGTTGGCAGAGGGTTGTGCCTTAACCTCTGTCCGTCAGCACCCTCAGGGTGCTTTTCGAGTCTCCCATCGAGGCGGAGATCGCCCAAGGATTCCTGGCTATTTTCGACGAATACCCCAGCATTGACAGGGAGCTCACCATGACCGGCAGCATTCTGGTTGTGTCAGTCCTGGGCGGGTTTGGCTTTGCGGGGAGGGTGGCCAAAGTACAAGGAGGGCTGCTCTAATGGAGAGAAGAGTGCCCCTTAGTGTTAGTCTAAACGGTGTTTGGGGACAGTTACCTACCATTACTCAGCTTGTGTTTCCTCTGTCTCTTAGGACATGGATTGTGGAAGATCCTGGACAACTCCAACCAGTGCTCACTTCCTTCCTTAACGACCTTATCCTTGTCTTCAACATCATGAACTTCTTGGGGCCCCCATCTCCCTTCGTTTCTTCGTAGGAAGGGAGGGCTGAAGCCACTGTGGCCCATGCCAGACAGCACATTCTTCACTAGGCTCTGGTTCTTGCATTATTTGCCGTGTTCTCAGATCCCCAAATTTTCTGCCTCTGCTAGTTAATCATTGGGTGCTTCTGGCCTGCTTGTTTTGTTTCCCTGTTGGTGGGCAGACGATGTGATTAAAGGTGTGTCACTGTCAAAAATAAAGCCGAGCAATGACTCCATCTTTGAGTTTCTTTTCCACTACAGCATCGATTTTCTCGCTCTTGTCCCTGAGGATGATGGCTTTATCCCACAGGGGACGCATTTACAGACTGCGCCAGACGCAGAGTGAGGAAACTCAACAAACAGGTGGATGTAAACAGCACAGAGGTCATGAGGGCTCCCAAGCGGTGGGCAGGTGGGCAGGATGCGGCAGATATTCTCCTGCTGAGGTGGGAAACCAGGCCCCTGGGCCTTTGCTCGGGCTCTGCCCATCTGCAGCTGTCCTCGCCAGCCTGCCCCTACACACAAGAGGTGTCACCCTCGGCGGGCTCTTCCTCTTGCGGCAGTGCTGCTTAGAACTGCATCCTGGCGCCCCACCTGCGTGGCTTCAGTGTGGGAGGCCCCACGCGGGGAGGGTGCCACATAGGGCTCACAGCCGCACCCCCAGGAAGAAAGAGTTGCCAGGCCTCAAGGAGTGTCAGTGTCACTGGAGCCAGCCGAGGGTGTGGGCTCCCGGGGTTGTGCTATGGGCCATGCCTTCTGTCTGCTCTCCGTTCCTTTCTGTTGTTTACTGAGCCTAACTGACAAAATCCTGTGTGTTTAAGGAGCACACAGCGTCGTGACTGGAGACCCGGGTATGTTCTAAATGAGTAGCACCATCAGTCTAGGGAACGTTTCCGTCACCCCCCACACTTAGAGCCATCCTGAATTTCCTCTGCAGTGAAGCATTTCATAAAAGCCCAAGCCAGAAAATTCTCCTACAGAAAAGTGCTCAGCAGCTCCCCGCTGCCTTAGGTCTCAGAGCATCTCTCGGCCTCCCCAGGAAGCTGGTGGCCCCGTCAGAAGCGGGCGCACCACCAGGGCCAGAGGCGGCCGCGCCTCACCTACCTGGGCTGCGGGTGGTGGGGAGAGCACACAGGAGCAGACTCTGCAGACCCTTTCAGGGGGAGCCCCTGGCACCTGTGGTACTTGCAGCTCGGCTGCTCAGAGCCTTCAGCCCCTGGAGCCCTGGGAAGCCCTGAGAGAGTTAGCCTTCCTCCCATCAGGGGAGCCCAGCGGGTCTGCCCACCCGCCACAAACACCAGGCACACAGGGACCCCGTGTCCCTCACATTTAACCAGGAAACATCAGGTCGCTGACAAAGAAGATCTCACGCCACCCAACAGGAGAGCACTGGGGTGCGGGACCTCCAGAGGGGGCCAGAGTCCTACAAAGGAAGCAGGAGGCAGGAAGGCACTGCCACCTCGCACCATCCGGGCAAGTGCTCCCCAGGCAGCTGAGGCTGGGCTTCCTGGCCATGGGTGGGCAGAGAACGTGACACAGTGGACAGAGGTGGTCCCCAGGCCCGGGGCAGCGCCCCGCCCAAGCCTGGTTCTAGGTCCTTGGGTGCTCAGGGGGAACAGTGTCACCCGGAAGGAGATCCTTGTGGGGACACTGTGGCCCGGCTTGGCACAGCCGGTGGCAGTACAGGGTGCTTTAGCTGGTGCTGTTGCAGCTGCAGGTGTTTGTGCTGGTGCAGGTGATGCTGCCACTGCTGGGATAGAGTCCTTGGCCTTACCACCGCAGAGTGGCCCCCTGTAAGGTCTGAAGCCTGGCAGGAAGGTGGTTCCTCACAGGGCCTCACGCCATGCGCATGTGGCAGTAAGCCACTAGGTGTCGGGCCTCCTCCAAGCTGGCTCAGCCCAGAGTCCCAGAGACCCCTTTGGCCACGGAGGGACTGAGGGGACAAGAGACCCAGTTCTGGAACGCGGACATGGGCCAGGCCCTCCACAGCCCCGGGGGGGGGGGGGCGGGTGTGTGGACAGGCCCTGCCTCGGGCCTGGAGGCCTCGGGAAGCCGCTGGGCCCGCGATGCCCACAGGGACGGGCCACCCGAGGGCTCGGTGCGGGCCCATCCACGCACTGAGTTCTGGGGGCAGGAGGAGCCAAGCCCGGCCCGGCCCGGCCCACACCCATCCCCGTGCCCCACCGCCCCGCCCCGAGGTCCCAGCCCAGGCTGCCAGCTGGGGATGCGGATCCCTGTGGGTGCCCACCCTGGGGCTTTGCCCAGGACTCTGGCTCCTTCAGCGACATTCCTCTCGGTCACCCACGCTGCGCTCCTGTTGGGGCAGCTTCGTGTGAACAGAGGCTGTTGGCCAGGTTTGCAACATGGCCAGGTTTGCAACGTATCCAGGGCCACCTGGTAGCCACATGGGTAAATTCATGAAGAAGTGGACAGCCTCCAATAGCTGCTGGATGCCTCAGTCTCTTATGCCTTGGAGAGTAAATTTGAGGTACAAATCACTGTTACATGAATAGAAATAGTATGGACAATGGACACTGACTTGTTAAGCTCTTTTTCTGAATCTCAATAGAAGCATGGAAGGAAGTGTCTAACAGACTATTATACATGGAAATGTTTCTTTGTATATGAATTGTTTAGAATGTGTTCATGCAATACATACAAATCAAACCAAAAATAGGAAAAGAAAATTTAATTGAACCTATTTGACATTTGGATAGCTAAAGACTTTCCTAAACCTACTAATAATAGAATGATAATAACCAAAAATGTGTTTTGGGTGATTACCATGTTCCAACCACTGTTCAAAGCATTAAGCAGGAGTTAGCTTATTTATCCACTAATATACCTCATTTTCATTGTGCTTGATTTTTACTTACTTTTTTTTTTTTTACTATGCAGTTCAGGCTGGTGTTGAACTCACTTTGTAACCCAGGCTGGCCTTGAACTCAACACAACCCTCGTGCTTCAGCTTCCGTAGTCCTGGGATGACAGGCCTGTGTCACCATGCCCTGCTTTTACTTTCCAAACTTGCCCATATTTTTTTAAAGTTAACATATATTACATTTGTGAAAAGAAAAACAGTTAAGAAAGTCATTCGTTACTTGTTGAGAAAAACTTCTAATTAGTTCCCAAGTGAACTACTTTGCAGAAGTTTTAATTATTCTGTACAATTCACTAGAGGCCAACTTTTTCCTGTGAAAGTTCTTCTAATTGGCACCTCTGCTTGATGCAGTGGGAACTGTTGTACTGGGCACTCCCTGAAGTCACTGAGTCTCGGGGCAAAGGCTAGACACCATGGGGCCAATGCTACATAGCTCTGTTCGTCTCTGTGGCTTTGAGCTTCTTCTGAAAAGCAGCCCTTTCCGAGTTCTACACACAGTGCTTCTCCTTCCTTGAAAGTTGTCCCTCCAGAGGGCAACAAAGCTGGGTGTGGTGGTGCATGCCTGTAATCCCAGCACTCGGGAAGCTGAGGCAGGAGGATCGTTGTGAGTTCGAGACCAGCCTGGGCTACAAAGTGAGCTCAAGGCCAGCCTGAACTGCATAGCGAGATCCTGTCTTAAAAACAAACAAAAAAGCAGAGGGCAACCAGTAGCTCACTTCATCAGTGATTTATCAGTATTACATGAGATGTTTTTCTGCTATTCCTTCCAAGTACTCACATATCAACACAAAAAATTTCTGGACACAAAAAATACACTCCACACATGGGAACTGCTCATCACATAATCCTCCCCATACTGCCAGCCCTGGCGTACACATTGCCAGTCTCAATGGTTATGTTTTTCTATCAGAGAAGACTTGTTTGGAATATAATAAAGATATATTTATGTCTGTCCAATGTGTCACATAGGGCGCAATATTTAATGATTATGACTTGGAGGTGACAGGGCCCATGTGTACAAACTTGAGGAAAGTGATAGTTAAACAAGTATCTCTCTGCCAGATACTCAGGATCTTTCTTGAATTCCCAAGCTTCAAACCAATACGAGTATGACTTAGCATCCACAGAGAACTGGCTCCAGGCTGGGGATCAGGTATCCAAATCTTCATATACTTAGGCCCCTTATATCAGATGTCATAGTATTGGCATATCCCTTCTGCAAATCCTCCAGTATAGTTTTGCTGAGCTCTAGATTACTTATAATTTTAATGCAGTGTAAATGCTATGGCAATAGTTGGTCTATTGTTTAGGGCATAATGACAAGAAAAACATCTGTACATGTTTAGTATAGATGTAGTTTTCTTCTAATAGTTTCCATCCGAGGTTGGTTTCATTTGCAGATTTGGAGGCCCAAGTCCTATAGCATCGAACCAAGCCCTATAGCATCGAACCAAACTAGCTCTAACCAAACTCACGGTGTCCCTTGCTCCCCAGGTGCCCACTTCTCCTCTGTTCTCTCTTGGCAACAGGCATTCCCAAAGCCTGCCAGTCTCTCACTTCCTTGCAGTTGATCCCCTTAAATATGTCCTCTCCGCCCTCTAGGCCACCTGAGGCTAACTTAGCATTATCTCTTATCTGTGTGGGGACCACAGTGTCTCCTGTGTTCTGCAAAGATGTGGCCTAAGTAGGGTTCTCCCTTTGAGGAGGGGGACAAGGCTGGCACAGGTCCCCCTGACGTGGACCAGGGGAGGGCCCTGCTCTACCTACAGGGCTTGTGGATCTCATTCTGCTGTCCATTTGGAGGTCACAGAAAGCTGCTGGGCTCTGGAGGGCTCTCGCACTGGACCCAGGACCCCAGGCAGGGCCTGATAGGAAGCTTGGGGGTCTTTTGTCCTTAGTTTCCTCTGAATACTGTTTGAGGACTGAGAGAGGCCGCCCTCAGGGGCTGGGACCAACTTGTTTAGGAATGGAGCAGATTCCTTTGCTTCTGGCAGTTTGGCCCTCCAGGTGCTGCCCGCTGGACAGGGAGGCCACCTGCCACAGGGCCCTTCTGATGGCTCCTGCCCCTCCGTGCTCTGCAGCCCAATTTATTCCCTGCCCCCGACTGGAAGAGACCTCTGCCTCTTATTGGGAGCTTCTGTGCTGCCTCCCTGAAGATCTTGTGTGTGTGTGTGTGTGCACACGCGTGTGCACGTGCAAGTGGGCAGGATGAGGAGGTGCACGCTAAGTAAGCAGACTGTCTAGGCAAAGGGGACTAATCAGCAGTCTTTAACTTGTAAAGATTTTCATTAACAAACTTACATAAAAGTAAATATATGAGAGTAAAGAAAATAATGTTTAAAAATCTGCATACAGCTTCAGCAGTTGTCAACCTCTTACTGGCTCATTTTGTAAGTAAAGGAGGATTCAAGGATGAGAGCAGTGGGAGCTAATGTTTCTTGAGGCAACAAGAGGAGAGGACCTGCCATACTCGCTCAAATGAAGGGCATCATGTGGCCCTGAAGCAGGAGCCATGGGGAGCTGGGCTGGGTGTGGGAAGGACAGAACATTATTATTTGATCACTGTCTTTTTCTCCTTCTCACGTCAGTTTACTTTTTTCTTTCCCAAGCCATGTGGGTTTAATTTAGCTACCCACTTTAGCTTCCCTTTGGTCACCCTGAGGTCTCTATCCAAGTTCTCTGGGAGGACCTCATGACAGTGTCCCACTATGACCAGCTTCCTGTCCAAGCGGGAAGAGCAAACACACTGCTGTGGCTAGTCTTCATCCCATGGCTTTAGTACCTGCTAACTGGGTCTTGGGCAGGTGTCACTTTCCAGGCCTTGTCCCATACCATCCCCACCACTGCCCCAGGAGGTGTGGACACCACGGCCCCATTTGCTAGACACAGCTCTGGTAGCACTGGGAATTTTCTGCTCTGTCTTGTGCATTGGTTTGCAAGCCCCCAGGGAGAGCTAAGGGTCACAGTCCTCTCTCAGCAATTTCCATGGCCTGGTCACTGACCAAAGACCAGATAGGGCTGGACTCTGGAGAATGAACCTGAAAAACCCCAACTAGGAGTGTCCCTCTGGTAGCTCTGAGGACAGGGTCATCTTCTAGATGTGAACACAGAGGTGGTAGAAGGGGTAAATTGAGGACCAGTCAACGTTGGAAACAGCTTTTTTGTCCCATGACTTTTGGATTCAGTCCGTAGGAAATACACTGTTTGTTAACTGAACACAAGGTGCAGGGGGAAGTGGCCTTGCTTTTTTTTTATTTGCTCACTGAAAGGCCCCATCAAGCACCCTGGCTCCCTCTCCTCCTTGACACTTTCAATGACATGCAGATATCCTGAGACTCGTGGTGGGGATGGTCACCCCTTCCTATGAATGACTAGCAAGTACCCATTGTGTTAAGATGAATTATTTTAGGGGTTAATAGCCCAGGCCAATCTGTGAGCTCCTCGAGGACAAGCGGAGACCTTGTCTTAAACTTCTCCATACTTCCAAGACCCAGTGCCTGTTACATTTCTGTAACAAGGAACGATTTCTGCTGAGTGTGTTGGTGCAGGGAAACACAGGGGCCCAGGCACCCAGCGCAGCCTGTGGGGTGCAGTGGGTCAGCAACACTTTCTCATGATCAGTGCATCTGGCCTTTGACCTGATCCACAAGGTGTCCAAGTCTTGTGCCAAAGCTGGTGGGGCGCTCACAGTTCAGTCCTGCGACCACTTATTGGGTGCCCATAGTTCCAGGTGCCAGGGTGCAGACATTAAGCATAGTTCTCACCTTTAAGGAGCCCTCGGGCTGCGCAGGGAGACAGGGGATGGTGCCTGGAACTCGGGGAGCAGAGGAGAGGCACCTCCTTCTGCCCATGGAGCCTGGAGAGCAGGTGGAGGTGGAGGAGCTGCTAGCCTGGAGGGGGCCACGCCCTGTGAGCATGGCGAGGGAAGCAAGGGCAGGTCACAGCCCAGTGCCGCTGCCCTCAGTGCCAGTAGTGCCATGTCCGTTCGCATTGCTGGGCATCAGGCTCTGCCTAGGCCACTTTCTGGTGGTGCAGGAATTCAGTTTCTGGGTCGGCTCACTTGGAGCTCAGAGCTCCTTGTATTTCTATCCCTCCTGGCTCTTTGGCAAGAGAGGTTTTGTTCAGCCCACCTTTGACATTCTGCTCGTCACATCCCTGACAGTGATCTGGATGATGGATGGAACTGTCCACAAGGGGACAGAAAGAAAAACACTCGCAAATACAGAAATAGTGCCATGTCTCACAAAACTTTAGGATTTACTCCATCTTTCTTATTTTTTGTTTTTATTTTATTTATTTTTTTGAGACAGGGTCTCACTATGTAACACAGGCTCAATTCAAACTCATTGCCATCCTCCCGCTTCAACCTCCTGAGTGCTGGGATGACAGGTGTGTGCCACCATACCTGGCTTATTCAATTTTTCTGACTACAGAAAAGGGGACAGTGAGTTCCGGGTGAACTCAGAACTAGGGAAAGCCCTTAAAGGGAGGCGTGGGACCACAGGCCATGTGGGGAGATGCCTGTTTACACTTGCAAAGGGGCCGGGTGAGTGCTGCAGGCTGTGCCTTCTGCCTCTGCTTGTGTTGAGAGGCCACCTCAGCAGCCACGGCTTTCCAGGAGTCTCCTGAGGGCGCCCTTGACTTCTTTGTTTCTCAAACTATAGATCATAGGGTACAGCATGGGTGTCACATTGGTGTAGACCAGAGACACAATTTTGTCCTGCTCGGGAGTGTAGCAGGACTTGGGGCGACTGTAGATGAATATCGCACAGCCATAGTGCAGAAGGGAGACGAGGAGGTGGCCGGCACAGGTGGAGAAGGCTTTGCTTCTGCCTTCCCCAGAGTGGATCCTAAGGATGGCAGCAATTATAAACCCATAGGAGAGCAGGATGAGCAGGAAGGGAATCAGCAGGATGAGCATGCAGACAAGGAAGACTGCAACCTCGTTGGCTCGTGTGTCTGAGCAGGCCAAGAAGAGCACAGCAGGGATGTCACAGAAGAAATGATTGATCTCATGGGACTGACAAAAGGGCAAGAGGAATATCAGTACTGTGAGGGTGAGCGAGAGAGCGAAGCCACTGAGGCACGCCAGGGTCAGCAGCTGCAGGCACAGGGCCCTGGTGATGGTGAGTGTGTAGCGCAAGGGGTTGCAGATGGCCACGAAGCGGTCATAGGCCATCACGAGCAGCAGGAAACACTCGGCCCCACCCAAGGCGACGAAGAGATGCATTTGTAGGGCACAGCCCAGAAAGGGCATCTGCTGGCTTCTGGACAGGAAATTGGCCAGCATGTTGGGGACAATAACCAATGTATAGCAAATTTCAATGGTGGACAGGTTCCGGAGGAAAAAATACATAGGGGTCTGGAGACAGCTGTCAATGAGGGTGATGAGCACAATGGTTGTATGCCCTGCTAGGGTGACAAGATGCATGATTAGAAATAGTCCAAAAACGAGGATTTTCAATTCAGCCAGGTCTCCAAAACCCAGGATAATAAACTCAGAGTTTAAGGTGTGGTTTTTCTTCCATGGGCCCATTCTGTATTCTCCCATGTAGAACTCCTAGGCTGAAAAGGAGAGTTTCCTAGCAATTCTCCAGGCTGTGGGAAACGCTGGAGCCCTGTCCATGGATGAGAGTGAAGCCAGCTTTTTCAGATTTCGCCTGGGCTCTCGTTCTGTTAGCTTCTTGAATTCTGCCCTGTGCTCAAGGAGGATGAAGGGCTGCTGGAGGCAGGCCACTTTAGTTCTGTTGAGTTATCACAAAGAGGAACCAACATAAGCAAATCCTAAATATGAAGTTGTTTTTCACAAACCTAGAGACAACGTTCGGTCAGAGCTGTTTTACAATTTGACGAGTTCTCCGGGATAGGGATGGAGGTCTGAGCTTATTGTGCTCAGTGAGTTTAAATGGGTCTGGGTCTACAGGGCTGTCGATACCGCTGTATGGTGTTCCTCCTGTAGGAAGGCCTAGGAAGTTCATTTTAAGCGCTTCTGACTGTGTGCGTTGGCTGGATTATCTTTTCCTTACTAGGTACCACCTGCAGATTCCTAGGACTCCTGCAGCCGACACGGTGTGAACTGTTCACAGGAGAGGACACGCACACAACCCTGGGTAGCTGCTGCCTTCCTTTTCTGTGCCTCAATTCCTCAGTTGCATGTAGGCCTCCATTTAGGTGTCACTTCTTTCTGGAAGTGACAGAAAGGCTCCTCTGTCTCCCACTTTTGGGTTCGTCCCTTCCCTGTGTTCCCACCTCACTCTGGGCTTCGCCAGTCATGTTATTTACCACTGACTTCTGTAATTCTCTGATTATTTCTCTGTGCACCTCAGCAACCAGGCTGACAAGAATGGGGTCTCATTCAGCCTCTCAAACAGTGGCTGGCACAAGTTAGGAGCATCATAAATGTTTCTTGTATGAATGTCTGGTGCTCGTGTCTGTTTCCTCTGCAGTTATTAATGGAGCAGAGTGAGAAGAGCCGAGGGCAAAGGGCTGGGCTGGGTCACAGGTGGGAACAAACAGAGTTAGAAAAGAGTCAGGGGCAGTGAAGGTTTGTGCCAGCCACGTCCGTGGCTGATTTACTTCCCAGACTTTGGGTGCTTGCCTCCTCCTTGCCTTGGCAGGACCCAAGTTGTAAGCAGAAAGTCTTGTTTTCAGCCTGCAGTTTTCCCCTGTGCAGCCCCTGGTCAGAGCAGGAGAGAAGAGGAGCAGGTTTCTGAATATTCTAGAGATCTAGCAAATGAAGACTGAGGAAGTGCTGAGCTAGGAGAGGTGGAGTTGCCACCCAACTGGTTCATTCCGCAGGGGCACTGCCTCTTGGCTCACTCCAAGTAGGGCCGGTGGTTTGCTTGGAACAGATGGGAGTTCCAATCCCAGGTGTCCAGCCCCTTGCATGTCACACGGAGCAGTACTTTAGTGTTTATTTACTCCAGGGGCACCTGGAACTTTTGAGCTGGACAGATCCCTAGAGGGCAAAGCATTTATACCTCATTTCAAAGCAGATGCTCACAAAGCCTTCTTCCCTGGGTGCCCAGGCCCTGCATCTGTCCCTGCCCCCTCAGAAATCACCCTAAGCCCCTGCCAAAGGCCTCTGTCCTGGTGGAGCCTGTCCCTGCTCAGGCTTCCCTCCTTCGTATCACCTCACCTATGCTCATGGGAGCCCAGAGGACTGCAGGGGTCAGGGTGACCAGCCTGCTTCCAGGCAGGGGCTCCCAATAGCCTGAGCTCAGCCTCTTCTGTAGCCAGTCCAGCCTCCCACCCTCCACATGCTCAGCCTTCCCACATCCCTCCACCACCCCAGATAACTCTTTGAGTAAGGGTGGGCTTCTCGGGTTCCATTTGTCTTTCTCGGCCTTGGATCCTTGGCTTCAGCTTTGCCAGACTCAGTCACTTCCACTCTTCTCTGCTGTCATCGCTGGGGAGATCTGGGGATTGCTTTGGGCCCTACACCTCAGAAATACCAAAACCCAAGAAGACAAAATGAAAAGTCACACTGACTCCAAACATTTAAAAAGAGAGAAGTGAAAATCAAGGTGAAAGTTTCTGCTCCTTCATTCCTTTCCCTCATTCTTCAGAGAGAAAAATTCTTAGCAGTATGGGGCATTTCTTTCCCTGTTTGGTCCCTGCGTATAAACAGGCTCATGCACTCATCTACCAAATACATATACGCACATACTCACATATTCATACACACACACGGGCAGGCATTGCTGACACACTCTACACATACACCTGCACATACTGACACACACTCACACGTTTACATACGTGTGCAATCACCGCACTCACACAACAAAATAGTACATGGGTTCATAGTATACAAACCAAGTATGCTTAGAATGGGCAGGGCAACACCTGTCTGTAATCCCAGCTATTCTGGAGGTTGAAGCTGGATGATCGCAAGTTCAAGGCCAGCCTAGATTAGATAGTGAGATGTGTCTCAAGTTAAAATAAAATTGAAAATTGGCTGGGGATATAGCTCAGTGGTAGAGACTGTTACACAAAAACAAAGAAGAAGCCCCCCCCCCAAACGAACAAACAAATATACCTCGAATAAAACAAACAAATTGACTGCTCTTACTGTAGTGATGCCATTTAATAATGTGCCTTAGAGAGTTTTCTGTCAGCACCTAACTGTTTCCCTCATTCTTTTTAACTGCTGCACTGCACAGTGTGGATACACCACACTTTAACTACAGTTAATTAAATTAAAATGTTAATAGTACACACAGGAATAATATCTAGCGAAAATATAGCATAGCAAAGCAGATCATAGCTTAATCTGTCCCTCGTTAGTTGGATCTGGGAGTAGTTTACTGTTGAATCTGCTCCTTATGCTCTATGGGGCAAGGCATATCTCAGCGTGGAGTCTGGAGCAGCAGCCAGAGGTGTCCTTGCTGCTTCTTTCTGTCTGCATGCTAGAGAAGACAGGCTTACCTGGGAGGGCCAGACTGGTGTTGAAGCAGAGACCTGGGGAGGGCCTTGTTGCAGACTCTGTTGCTGGAGGGAACCATGAAGAATGAAAAATCCACCCATCTTCAGGGGAGTAGTAGAGGGACTGAGTGGCCCCAGCCGGAGTCTGCAGGACAGCTTTCCAGAGCCCAGATGGTGACTTGCAGCCCACCTGGACCATGGGGAGCAGCTCTCAGAAGTACTGCTGATGGCTGTTAGCAAAGCAGTGTCCTTAGATTCTGCCACAGTCTGAACATGTATTAAATAGAGGCGAAGGCAAGACTCAGAAAATCCTAGGAGAGGTCAGGGAGGAGGCCGAGCCCAGAGCCACACACCAAGGGGACTGCCATCTCTAGGTCACAGAGCTGCGCCCAAACCCAAACCCCAGTGGCTATTGTTTTATTTGCAAGCTCTGGTTCTGCTGCAGGTCTCGATCATGCTGTTGAAGTCAGAGTCACTGAAAATGCAGGCCCCCACATGCAAACTGTCACTATGTGAATGGGCCTTGGGTTGACTGAAGAGGCAGAACATGTGTGTGTTTGGCTCAGGTGGAAGGCAGCGGTCAAGCCTGGCTACAGAGGATGAAAAGTGGGCAGTGGAGCACAATACTGGTGGCCTCTGGAGGCCCTCTCTCCATCCTGCTGAGAGTCTGTGTGGTAATTAGGAGGAGGCAGAGGCAGGGATCTTAGGGCCTCCGCTTTTAATCAGCGGACGGAATCATAATGTGGCCTGAGTGACACAGGGAATAAGAGTTATGGAACTGTGACAGTGAATGATCCCCCAAAGCCATTGTCACTTCTTGGACGTTCTGCTCTGTGGAGTACTGGGACAGTGCTGGGCTCTGGGCAGCAGCAGCAGGAGGAAAGCCTTTTTCTCTGCCTCTTCTTCCACCCTGAAGCAGGAAATGGGGTCCCCAAAAGCCCTCTCCGACCTTAGATCGCACCCAATCCTAAACCATTCTAGTAGTTTCTGCCTCTGCCTCCACCTCCACCCCCAAGGGGCTCCTGATACTCCTAGGTGGGCGCATAGCACTCTTCCCGCAGCTCCATTTTCCTCTTCCTTCTTCCTCCTTCCTCCTTTATGGCTTCCCTCTCTTCTGGGCCACAATTTCCCAAACCAAAGCTCTTCAGCTTTTAACTGAGACAAAGACCATGGAAACTTTGTTGTTGTACGCACCCACCGAACAGGTTTTGGGAAAAGCCCCATAATGTGGTCTTGTCCTGCACATGGCAGACGTGTGGGCCTATTATGAAGTCACTGAGCCTTCCTCAGCTGAGCCAGCCAAAAGTACAAACTCACAGGAGCTCAAGGAAAGGACCTGGCCTGGAGCTGAGGGTGCTGCACCTATGCATGGAGACTTAGGGCGCTTAGGGCACTAGCGACACCTTGACATTGGCTCATAGTGTGGAGTGGAAGGGATGAAGTTTCAGCTCTAAACTTAATGACGCTTTGAATGGAAGCACTTCAGATGAGGCCTAAGTAACTGGGGCTGCTGCTGCCTTTGGCAATTCCTAAACCTTCTGAGGTAGTGACACTCAGTCACAGCGAGCTGGTACTTTTGTGGGTAGTGGCTCAGACTGCAGAATTGGGACCCCACAAACTGTCCTAGAATATTCATTGTGGGAGAGGGTTAAATTTGGGACACCTTGAAAGTTGGACTTTTATTATTAGAGTATGTAATAGATTTATTTGACCTCCAGAGATACACTGGGCAATGATGGTTAGAAATAATTTGGGGTGAGGAAATAGAATAAATAGTAACATTTTAGAGGCGGGGTCTGGCCTGAAGAGGTGTTTCACTGGGGGTGTGGCCTGGAAGGGTGCTTCTTCCTCTCAGCTCCTCCCTTCTTGTTGCTTTCTGGATCCCATGAAGCAAGTAGCTCTCCTTGCCCAGGCCCTTCTGCCACGCCTTTCTCTTTCGAAGCCTACCAACCGTGCTTGGACTGAGACCTCTGAAGCTGTGAGTCAAGATAAAGCTCTTGTCCTGCAGGTTGTGGGTGCTGAGCATTGTGTCTTGGCAATGAGGGAAGTGACTAAAAGGCATGAAAATCTATGAAGTGTGAGGTGCGTATGCCAGAGGTAACTCCTTCC